GGAGAGGGAGAGGGAGGGAGAGAGAGAGGAGAGGTAGAGGGAGAGGTAGAGGGAGAGGGAGGGAGAGAGACAGAGAGAGAGAGAGAGAGAGATCCCAGACTTTGTTTTTTTGAGTTGGAGTCTCACTCTGTCACCCAGACTGGAGTGCAGTGGCCGCTCCTGGCCACCGCAGCCTCGACCTGCTGAGCTCCGGCGATCCTTCTGCCTCAGCCTTCCGAGTAGCCGGAATTACAGGCGTGTGCTACTACGCCCAGCTAATTTTTTGATTTATTGTAGAGATGAGGTCTCGCCTGCCCAGGCGGGTCTCGAACCCGCAGGCTCAGGCAATCCACTCACCTCAGCCTCCCAAAGGCTGTAATCACAGGCTGAGCCACCGAGCCCGGCTTCCCAGACTCTTTTTAACAACCAGGTCTCACATGAACTCAGGGGACGGCACCACCAAGTCCTTCTTGAATGATTCAGCCCCATGGCCAGCAGCCGGGATCACATTTTCACATTTAAACATGAAATCTGGAGGGGCAAACATCCAAACTGTCAGCCTGCATGCCTGAAACCAGCAGCAATGGTGGTGTGAAGTACAGGGTTTCGGTGGCAGAGGGGGCAGGGCGGGTGGGGCCTAAGGAGTTACAGTCAAGAACATCATTCCTTGTGTGTTGCAAAGACCTTTGAATGGAGAAATTTACTTTTTTAAGACAACCATCAGAATAATGTAGGAAATGATGATCATTCACATCAAGCTACTTTATTTGCATAAATAAAACCTACAGGAAAAATCCAATCTATTTATTTATGCGTGTGTGCAGTTACTAATGTTTATAAACCTACTGGAGTAAAAAGAAATTCGACAGTAGAATCTTTTCTACAAAAATACTAGAGATCACTATTATTCCAATAAAAGAATCCTTTATTTTTCCTATATATATATGTACATATAAAATATGTAAGAGCTCCTCTCCAATGGCATAGGAGTATTTTATGAAGTTATGAAAAAAATCAATATTACCTGTCAAGTCAATCTTGCATGTGCAATAAAAAACGTTAAGATTATCTGAATAAGAAATCCCTGGTGTCTATTAGAGAAAGCTTTTAATAGAACTTGCCCTGACAACTTATTCCTAAATCTTCTTTTTCCTCCAGCTCAATAAAATATTGCTACTTAATTATGTGACTACATGACACTGTCTTAGACACTGCTTAGGGAATAAGTATTAAGAGTTTAAGTAAATGCAAATGATGTTTTTGCCACATTTTCTCAAGATTTTGCATGAGAATACAGATTATAAAATTAAACTGTATTTTGTGTTTGCAATTTCTACTATATACCACTCTATATCTTTTACACGTATAGAAGGTAAATAAATGGTCCTAGTCTTATTCAGCTTAAAACCAGTGCCAGTCTCATTACTTCATCAGCCACTGATAATCTCCTAATGCTGAACATCACAAGATAAAATGTGCTGGCATTTACTAGTTCCATAAAATTTACTAGCTCTTTTTCATCCTCCCCAATCTTAAGACAAGCATGACTTATGATTTGAGATAAATGTACTTATTGTAAGAAGTACATGTAGTTAGATAGCCATCTGCCAACCTCATCCATAAACTTATTTCTGAGCATTGACAGTCCAATTTGAGATCACCTTTTAGAAACTTCCCCCTTGGCCAGGTGCAGATCACGCCTATAATCCCAGTACTTTTGGAGGTCGAGGTGAGGAGATTGCCTAAGCCCACTGGTTTGAGACCAGCCTGGGCAATTTGGCGAGATCTCATCTCTACAATAAATAAAAAAATTAGCCAGGCATGGTGGCATGTGACTGTAGTTCCAGCTACTTGGAAGGCTGAGGCAGAAGGATCGCCTGAGCTCATCAGGTCAAGGCTGCGGTGGCCGTGAGTGTGTCAATGCAATCCAGCCTGGGAGACAGAGTGAGACTCTAACTCAAAACCCCTCCCCCCAAAAAACAACAAAAAACACTTTCTCTTTGAGCAGGCCCGTTTTTTGTTCCAGATTAGAGCAATAAACTGGGAAAAGAAATGCTAGGTGACACTCCTTGCCTTGAGTGAGCTGGTGGCTTCCCACACCCTGGGCAGGGGGAGGGGGGAGACGACTAGGTTTTGAGTGACATGTCATCTGTGGACAGAGCTGTGTCCTGTGGCTTATTGTGGCTCAGTTCCGTTTCTAAATCTCCTCCAGTAAAAATTCTCTACTGGAACAATTTGCTCTTTGGACAGGCATCACCACCTAGAACTTGGGGCAATCAGGGAAGGGGCTTCTGGACCTTGGCCAGGCTTCGTCAATTTAGGGCCTCTGCCCTGGAAAGGGTTCTCTAGGCCAGGAAAAGTAGTCAAAAGTGCTAAGTATCCTCAGTAGTGAATTGCTGGTACAACAACTCGACTGTGGCAAACATTTTCCAAGAACAACAAGTAGTGTTAAGGAACATGGGCGGGAGATGGGGCAGTGGGAGAGAGGTGGGCTGCTTGAACCCTGATCCTTCCTCTCCACTGATGAGCTGGGTGACCTTGGCCATGTGCCTCACCTTCCTGAGCCAAAGCACTTGAAACATATTAAACACTCAAAACCATAGCATTTGTAATAATAAAGTCTTTTGTCATGTTTCACAGTATAAAGCACTTTTTAAAAATATCATTCTTTTTTTAAGACAAAGGAATCATAAATAAATGCACTAGTAATTGTCTATTAACTTAATGATTCATGTTCATCTACAAAAACATTTTCTAACTTCTTTCTGACCCTCTTTCATCGTTGTGGAATACTTCTGTTTGGTTACTTTAAAAATGGTGAGAATTTCATATGATTTCCCTTTCTTAGCATATCCTTGGGGTGTTTTGAATCAATTAAGTTTCATTTCCATTACTTCATATCCTTCCATAAACCCAAGTGCCACAATCCAGAACATTCTGCACATGTCACATGCCAAGGGCTCCTTTAGTCCCTTGTGATCCAACTCTTCCCATTTCCCCCCAGAAGCCCCCAACTTCTGCATTTACAACCCAAGTGTCACCACATCCCACATTTCAAATGCGCAGTGTATCAGCTACGCCCCTTACTGAACTCCTCTACCTCCTAGACACACACCTTTTGTAAAGAAAAGCGAATACAAAACAAGAAGCAGAACTCCCAAAGAGGAATGCTCTAGTTTTGAAAAATTTTAATTTTCTTCTGCCATAACAATGAGCTATGGTGTGTCACCAATCTATCACATAATTAACTTCTTGTCTTTTGTTCCTTATGAATTTACATATTTAATTATCTTTCTATTTAATTTCTTATGGTTTTGCTACACTGACTAAAAGTTTTTAACAAGAAAGTCTTTTAATTTAATAGACTTTGCAGTTCATTGGTAATCAGTCAGTTTTAAAAGTCATTTTAGGACTATTGAACACTGTTGCATAATGCCGTAAAATGCTCCTGCCAGGATTGGAGTATCTAGGTTACTTGTCCATCAGGACAACTGCTGAAAAAGATAAAATTACGCAGTGGTCAGAAGCTGCTGAGAAGGCATAGTAAAGTAGATTGCATTAAAAAAATGCTTATTTTTAAATAACCTACAAGGGATATTGTACTGGTGCATTTAATCAGAGTTGGTGTCAATTTAGATAATGTGGTTGAAAGCATAGTTTTTGTGCCACCAGAATTCCTGCTTTGTTTCTTTTGAGAACTCTACATAGATTTCTGCTTTTTTCTGTTAAAGTAGACACAGTGTCTCATAAATGGAGGGGAATTCTGACTCCACGAGACCTTCCATCTGCTGAGTTGCTACAGTGCCAGAATGTGGTTGTGAACAAACCCAAAATGTGCTGTGGAGACTGCATGGGGGGTGTTCTAGGGTCTTGGTGTATCTCTTTGATGAGATTTTCATAAATGGCCAACTCACATTGCAAAGGTGACTTTTCCAGATGCCAGGAAGGCAAATTCAAGCTCTAACTTGTATCAAGTATATTCTGTTCCTATCATCAGTAATAAAAGATGTCTTGGAATTTAACAGTCAATGTTTGGCTACTTGGCTCCCTGTTGAAATGAGTCTGCAAGGCTCTGGTAATAGGAAAGACAGTTGTTTGTTAGGAAGGCAAGGAAATGACCTGTTTTGTCTAGCATTTTTGGAATCATGACCCCAATTTAATACAATCAGATGCAGTTTGTTCAAGGAATTATCAAAGATACACCTGGATATCAGGTTGAAATTGAGGTTGACAGGTAGATATTGAAAATGTGTTACCAGAAAACAATCTAATTCAGAAGCAGGGCTGAGAAACATACAATTAGGAGAATCTATTCAAACGCTTATGCAGAGATAGTTTATTATCATTTAAAAAATTATTTCCAGGTTCGCTCTCTCCTTTTTAGAGGGAATGCAGTTCTATTTAGAATATAATTCAGGATTGGACCCAGTCTACTGATTTATGTGGTAGGACACACATTCACAAACCTGCCTAGACTACTTTTATATTTCAGGAAGGAGCTGTGTGCAGTTGCTGTTTCTGGCAAAATAAAAAAGAGTGGAAGTGAAAGGTAATTGATCACAAAGGGCCATCATGTTTTCTTCATCAGATCCATGAGATCGTCTTCTATTCCTTTCTCACTCAGCTCCTCTAAACTGTAGTATCGGTGAATGATTTTCTCAGCAGTGACCACCACGATCCGGAGCCCATGGGTGTCTCTGCCCAGCTGGCATCCAATGGCAGATGACACCACCATGTCGAGGTCCTGGTAGGTGCCCCCAGCATTCCTGTGGTAGTGACCTGAGAACACAGCTTTGATACCTGCAGGGAAGGGAAAGAGATATTAGGGGGGCTGAGGATTTTCTGGTGGCAATCTGGGGGCTCCAATTTTTTTCTGGGAGCAATCAGATATCCAATATACTTTTTATATATAATTGATATGCTAAATGCATAATGTTATTCTGTATATAATAAATAGGCAACGTATGTGATATCCAGAATCTTTTTAAAGGTAATTAATATATACAACAGATTATTACACACTTGTCATAACTAGTACAAGAAAATAAGATGATGAGAGAAGGAAGATCAAGCGAATGACTTTGGGAGGAGACAAGAGTCTGAAGAAGACATTCTGAGGTCTACAGAAGCATTCAGATGATGGAAGTGATATATCTGTTAAAAATAATGTTTGTAGAGATCTAATCAAGATAGCAGAGCATGTTTGACATTTGATGCACCTCCTCTGCTCCAAATTTATAGCTGTGAAAAATGAAACATAAAAAAGAAAACCCAAGGATACAAAAACAAAACAAATATTGTAGCTCCGCAGGCCAGAAACAAAACAGAAAGGCAAAGTAATGAGTGAGAGTAAAATGTTGCCAGGAGTGGAGCTCTCAGAAGAACACAGAGACTGAAAGCATTTTCAGAGACAGGGAAAATAAAGCCTCCTTGCTTGCTGAAATGGGCTGGTGTGGGTGCCTCTGTTGACAGAAGGAGAATGGGGGCACTGTTCCTGCCTGCTGCCTGGGGCTGGGGCAGTGGTGTGCTGGTAAGTGTGCAACACGCTATTTTAATAAAATACCTGACTTGTAAAATTTACCAATTTCCATGGTGTAAACACTCCCATCATGACTGACTTCAAGTTGCCAGTGTGATGTTGTTGAACCAGACGTGCAAAGAGTTGCCCAGTAGTGAGCGCACTATTATATAGTGTTTCTACCATATAGATCAAAAGTTGTAAACAACCTCGAGAGCATAACAGCAACATGTAGCAGAAGAATTAGAATGCAATGAGTTCTGAGCATTCATTACCTTTGCTTTTTAATATCATTTATTTAGCAATGAGTTGGTATAATTTAATTTTTCATAATGGCATTAACAACCACCTCACAACATTCTTTCACATTGATAACTAGTCCTCATGAACTGGTAGGAGCTGTCTCCAGCACACCAGGGGTAGCTAAGGCTTATAGCAACCTGAGGATCTAGGATGCAAGGAGAGACACAGGCTGAGGTCTACGAATAGAAACACATTTTCCCAATATTATTGTGGGGCCCTAAGCTACCATTATAGGGCCTGGTCCTGAATGGGGATGGGGATGGAAAGAACTGAAGCCACTAGAAAGGAGAAGTTAGTCAACAGAGAAAGAATGTAGGAAAAACAAAAACAAAAAATACCCTTCATTCAAATTGAACAATTAAAAATTTTACTACTGATAAAGAAATCTCTCATGTTAAGTAAGACAGTCTATAAACTCTACAATCAGGGTTCACTCCAGATGAAAGGGGAATTATTTAAAACTGTTTACAAATATTTAAAATAAATATGTTTAGGATATCAAAGGTTTTTTTTTTTTTTGAGCTGGAGTCTCACTCTGTTGCCCAGACTGGAGTGCAGTGGCCGCTCCCGGCCACTGCAGCCTCGACCTGCTGGGCTCCAGCTATCCTTCCACCTCAGCCTTCCAAGTAGCCGGAATTACAGGCATGCGCTACCATGTCCGGCTGATTTTTTGATTTATTGCAGAGATGAGGTCTCGCTGCCCAGGCAGGTCTCGAACCTGTGGGCTCAGGCAATCCACTCACCTCAGCCTCCCATCAAAGGTTCTTAATAAAGGACTCATATCCATAAAAATGAAGATGTTATGACACAAAACAGGCATAAATTAATAAGAATAGTAGGCCACAAAAATTTAGAAGTTGTGGACACAATAGATATACATTAAATAAAAAACATACCCCCATACATGGGATGAATTCTAGATTAGACACTAATCAAAGAAGAAATTAGTAAATTAAGAGGCAGAATTGAAGAAATGAACCAAAAGACAATACAGAGACCCAGAAACAAGCACATGAACACACAAGTCAAAAAACTCAAAAGACTGATTAAGAGGTATCAATAGATGTTTAAGAGAAGCTGAAACAGAAGAAAGGAGAAAATCTGAAGAAAAGAAACTTTCCAGAAAGGAGAAAGACATAGGTCCTTAAATAAAAAGTACTAAGTAAGTATTCAGTATAAAAATTAATTTATAGTGATATATAGCGCAATAAAATTGTGGTACAACAAAGAGAGAAAAAACCTTAAAAAAGATAATTGTGGTAAAAATATGACAAAAGGATGACAATTAGACAGGTAGCAGGTACCTCAGCAATAACAGAATCAAGAGTAATATCCTTAAAATGCTAAGAACAAATAACTATGAACCTCAAATTTTATACCTTGCTAAACCATCATTTAAGTTTGAGGGCAAAATAAAGACGTGTTTGGAAATAGAAAAACTAAGAGTTTTCTACTTTCAACACTGGTAAGATACTTTGGTAAATGGAATTAACTACTAATTGTTTTCTTTAAAAATTCTATTTTTTAAAGTTAAAAGTGAAACTAAAACTCAAAAAATGTCAAGATGGAGAGTATCCAGTGATTCAGTATTTTCATCTTCCAAGCATGACAATGACTTTATATATAGCGCAATAAACTAAAATTTAAATGATGGTTTAGCAAGGTATAAAATTTGAGGTTCATAGTTCTTTGTTCTTAGCATTTTAAGGACATTACTCTTGATTCTGTTATTGCTGAGGTACCTGCTACCTGTCTAATTGTCATCCTTTTGTCATATTTTTACCACAATTATCTTTTTTAAGGTTTTTTTCTCTCTTTGTTGTACCACAATTTTATTGCACTATATAAAGTCATTATCATGCTTGGAAGTAAGATGAAAATACTGAATCACTGGATACTTTGTTAAAAGATATATAATTATCATGTTTCTTAAAAATGGGCATAAGCAACCAAACTAAAAATAAGTTGCAATTCATCAAAATTAAATACTTTTGTGCTTCAAAAAACTATCAAAAATTGAAAAGGCAACTCATGGAATGGGAGAACATATTTGCAAATCATATATTTGATAAGGGTCTCATATCCAGAAAACATAAATAATTTTTACAACTCATCAATGAAAAGACAACCCAATTAACAAGTGGACAAATGATTTGAACAGATATTTCTCCAAAGAAGATATACAAAGGTCAATAAACACTTGAAAAGATGCTCAACATCGTTAATCTTTAGGAAAATACTAATAAAAACTAAAGTGAGATACCACTTCATATCCACTAGGATGGCTATAATTTAAAAAAAAAGGAAAGAAACAAGTTTTTGGAGAAATTAAAACCTTCGTACAGTGCTGGTGGGAATGTAAAATGGTACAGCCCTTCAGGAAAACACTTTGGCAGTTCCTCAAATGTTAAACAGTTACCACAATCCAACAATTTCATTCCTAGGTAAATACCTATGAGAAATGAAAATACACGACCATGCAAAAACTTGTACGTGAATGTTCATAGCAGTATCATACGTAGCCTAAAAAGTGGAAACAACTTAAATGCCCATCAACAAAATGTAGTCTCTTCATACAGTGGAATAGAATTTATTCAGTCATAAAAAAGAATGAAGTATTGATATATGCTATATTGTAGATGAACCTTGAAACTATTAAGCTAAATGAAATAAGCCAAATGCAAAAGACCACATATTATATGCTTTCATATGAAATGCGTGGAATAAGTAAATCCACAGAGACATAAAGTAGATGAGTGGTTGCCAGGAGCTGGGGGAATAAAGGAATGGAATGGGTAATAATTGCTAATGGGTTTCTTTGTGGAATGATAAAAATGGTCTGCAGTTAGACAGAGATGGTGGGTGCACAATCTTGTGAATGCAGTAAAAATCATTGAATTTTATACTAAAAAGGGTAAATTTTATGATATGTGAATTACAGTTCAACTAAAAATACAAAAAAAATTACGGGAAGAGGAGGACGCTAAAACGATTATATGGTAATGGATTAGAGTTGGAGATATCAGTATATTTAATATTGCTGCTGATGGTTTCATATAGAAATATTTATAGATGTGAATCTACACAGGCTAGTACACAGACGTCTATCTATTTTCTTGCTCTGTCAGCTGAGAGCCCTTAGAAGTTAGGACATATCCTAGTAATGAGAGCACCTAGCACTCAGGTGGAATTAAGTTCTAAAAACATTCTTTAATAAAAGGAACCAGAGGTCCATGGAGAAATGGCTGACCATAGAACTGCAGCAGGACACATGTAAGAAGAGCCTGGGGCATCATGTATTACCAGAAAGTAAAGGAGTGCTCAAAACCAAAACCCACAATGATAGGGCATGTCAAGGGGACATAGGAACCAAGTGAAAGGGCTCCCAATGGCCAAACATTTGAGCAAAATAAACTAGTATTGAATTATAACCTATGGTATTAAAAAATTCACAAGTCCATACTGGTATAGATAAATAATTGAATAAATAAATAAATGGTGGTGGTGGGGTGGGGGAGAAGAAACAAATCTCCTACACAGAAGAATAAAAAATAATTTATGTAATGGCTGGGCGTAGTGGCTGATGGTTGTAATCTCAGCACTTTGGGAGGCCGAGGTGCGAGGATCGCTTGAGAACAGGAGTTCGAGATCAGCCTGGGCAACATGAGACCCTGTCTCTACAAAACATAAAAAAACTAGGCAAGTGTGGTGGTGTGTACCTGTAACCCTGGCTACTCAGGAAGCTGAGGTGGGAGGATCGCCTGAGCCCAAGAGGTAAAGGCTGTAGTGAACCATGATCATGCCACCACTCTCCAGCCTGGGCGACAGAGTGAGACCCTGATTCAAAAAAAAAAAAAAAAAAAAATCATGTAGATACTCCATCCTCTAGAAGGTAGAGCACAACTTCTCATTACTTAGGTGCGGGCTGTGCACTGTAACTTCCTTTCAGAGTGCTGTATAAAGAGGAGGTTAAAAATAT